CTATTCGTGTTTGTAAAAATCAGTAGAAAAAACAAGAAATTCTAAAAGAATGATTTGCTAGGTAACATGTAGATTATAATTTATAATCATTAATTTATTCATTATTCTTCACTTTATACGATATAACTAGAATTTTTGTTTCGATGTCGTTAATATAAAATATACAGATTAAGTGTCGCGTGTAAAGAACTGTTAGGTTTCTCCACCAATCAGAAACAATCACGAATCACTGTGAAAAATTACCGTGATTGGTAACGAACGTGATCGAATCACGAGTGATTCACAAGTAGCAGTTCACGCCATCTCTAATACCTAGTCGGTGTTATAACGTTGAGGACGCAACAATCAGAGGTTTTTAAGGTGTCGATAATACATCATTTTTAGAGCCACGAAATCCCGTAAGATGTTAGCACAGATGAATTCTCGTCCGTGTCGCACTAAGAAATACGTTGAATATCTTGTCTATTCTATATCTTGTCCGTAACACTGTCATCATAAAATCGTGCAAAATCGTGTTTATGGCAATCTGACAGATGGAAACAGATGGAAGTGTCGTACGATGATACAAAAGATAGGGCCTGTCAGTAGAGTATAAAAATTAGTTATATTAAATTACTTTGGTCAGAGAAACTTGTAGGCACAATGTCAGGTGAAACTGATATTTTCGACGATAACGAAAGTCAATTGCCTCAAGACCTCGGAGATGATGTTGTTCAGGAGGTTCTCAAAACTGGCACCGATCTACGCCAATATTCCAGGCAAATTGAAAAAGAACTAAAGGAAGTCGAAAATAAATCCATCCAGGATTATATCAAGGAAAGCGAGAATATAGCGAGTCTTCATAATCAAATTGCTGCATGTGACAATATTTTAGAGGTTAGACACACACTAGTGGAATATTAACATCATCGTTCTGCTTCCTTATTGAAAAATATTTTACATAGAAAGTACCCAGCTTATCCTCCCATTATGATGTATTCTTACTGAATAACAGTGCATCAACCCCCTGTTATTATATTTATTTATGCCTATAATATACAAGGTGCAATAACTATGTCCACTTTGAATATTGCCGTTATTTGTAATAATATGAAAAATGTGATATACAAAACTTACACTGTATAGAGGGAGGCATATTGTGACACAAACATTTTCTGCGTGGGTGAAGGCACAGAGATGATTTCAAGGGCATCTCTATTTTTTTTAATGAAATGCTATGGTTTTTTTATCGCGATGTGATAGCTGGTGTTGAGACGACTTCAACAAGTTATTATTGAAGGTCATGCAAGGTCAAACGTGGTTGTAAAATAAACTTTCTTACATTACAGGAGATGCTCGAAGAGGTGACCGTTTGCGTCAATGCAAAGTTGCAATCCTCGTATCGCTGCATCACGTGCATGTCTTATCGTTTCTCAACTTGTTCTAGCACATGCTGTATTATTTCATAAGGGACTTTATTAGAAAATGTTCTAATAAAGTTCAATTCTTGGCCACCTCGTTCTCCAGATTTAATCCCATTAGAGTTTTTTCTCTGGGGAGCAATGAAAAATGCTGTTTATCAAGAAGTACCTACTACACCAGAAAATATGAAACAACCAATAATTGCAGCATGTGATACAATAAGTTCAGAAACGATAAGACGTGCACGTGATGTAGCGATACGAAGATTGCAACTTTGCATTGACGCAAACGGTCACCACTTCGAGCATCTCCTGTAATGTAAGAAAGTTTATTTTACTACCACATTTGACCTTGCATGACCTTCAATGATAGCACGCTGAAGTCATATCAACGCCGGCTATCACATCGCGATAAAAAAAACATGATATTCCATTAAAAAAAATAAAGGTAACGAAATTTCCTCTATGTCTTCACCCACACAGGAAATGTTTGTGTCACAATATGCCCCCCTCTATATCGTGTAAGTTTTATATATAACATTTTTTCATATTATTACAAATAACGACAATATTGAAAGTGGACATAGTTATTGCCCAACCCTGTATATACAATAATTATTATCTGGTAGTATGTACTTTGTGTGTGAGGCAGTAAATAAAATCATTTGAAAGAAAAGGATTTGTAGAGCTATTGACTTCGAGTATGTAGTAATTTAACTTTCTATGACAGTGTAATTTTATTGAAAGAAGTATACTTTTATAATATATGATTTTTTTACCTCAGTATATAAATTTTGCTCGTACCTTGAGTATTCACACTTAATATTTTACAGACAATATCAGGGGGAAAAGTTGGGTGATTCCTTTAGTAGTCTTATCTAATGTACGGTCTATATAATATTAGAAAAGCTATTTAAAAACGTATATGTTTTTCTATAGAAAATGGAATCAATGTTAATGAGTTTTCAACTGGACTTAGGTAGTATAAGTTCGGAGATACTTTATCTTCAACGTAAATCTGTGGCAATGAGCCAACAGTTATCGAATAGACAAATAATTAGATGTCCCCTTAGCCAGTTTATCGAAGACATGACAGTGTCAGAGGCGCTTATTGCGTAAGAATGAGATTTTAGAAGTACTTAAGAAGTTAATATCTATAAGTAAATTGACGAATCATTTATATTTCCAGTGGAATTATGGATTGTCCTGTAACAGAAAAGGAATTTTTAACCCAGCTGCAGACGTTGAATCACAAAATCAATTTCGTGAAGGAACAAACTTTTAAAGAAGCCAAGTCTTGTTTAGACGTGAAAGATATACTAGAGAAATTGAAAGTGAAGGCAATGGCAAAAATTAGAACATATTTGTTGGAACAGATTTACAAGTTCAGGAAACCCATGACGAATTATCAAGTGCCCCAGAATAATATGTTGAAATATAAATTCTTCTTTGAGTTTATTTTGGCAAACGAAAGGAATGTGGCAGAAGAAATTTGTGGGGAATATGTTAGCACAATGAGTAAAATATATTACTCTTATTTTAAATCGTATTCTTCAAGGTTAATGAAATTACAGGTACAATATAAAGAATTTAGAAGTTGACTGTAGACAATATTTAAGTTTGCTCAAGATTTGTTGAATTGTACAGTTTGAGGAAGGAGCTTCGAAAGATGATCTGATGGGAGTGGAAGATACTGTAGGAAGGGGTATTTTCCATAAGACTACATTAAAGCATAGAGGTACTGTATTTTCTATAGGAAATAGAGGCGATGTTTTAACTTCACAGTTGGAAGCACCTATTATTGTACCTCATACTGCATCTAAAACAAGAGTGAGTTATTTTATTATTGTAAATACAGAAATAACATAATCGTATATAGCAACATTCTTTATTCGTAACTCTTCTGTAATTTTTAATGGCCTACACGTATAATGGATACATGTTACGTCCACAGTATCATTACGAAGCCTTGTTTAGAAGTGAACAATACGCCCTTGTAGATAATGCCTGTCGGGAATATTTATTTTTAACGGAATTCTTTAAAGTACGCGGTGCACAAACAATGGATATTTTCAACCAGGTAAAATTACGCAACGTGTATTGAGTGTAATTTTTACAATGATAATAAATCGATTTCATAAACACATACATAAGTTTATATAATATGCAGGTAATGGGAAAGACATTAAATTTAATGGTGAAGAACCTGCAATCTTTTGTGGATGATTGCTACGATACCATTGCTTTATTCCTTTGCTTGCACTTGGTAATGCGTTATCAATTAACTTGCCATAAAAGAGCCGTACCAGCTTTGGATAAATACTGGGACAACATGACTTCAGTAATTTGGCCTAGGTATCCATAGTGTTACTAATGATATTATTATGGTACATTTTCTTACTTCATTTACTATGTGGATATTATAGATTCGAGTGTGTCTTTCAAATGAATATTCAAAGTATAAAAGATATTGACCCATTGAAACTCAGTAAAGAAACTGGTCCTCATTATGTAAGTTCAAACTGCTTTGTTTAAAGAGGTGTGAACATTGAAACATAAGTATCAAATTTATTTACAGATTACACGAAGGTATGCTGAGTTTAGCGCTGCAATGATCAGTGTAGTCGAAGGATTCCCTTGTGAAGGTGCAATACAGTTACTAGCCGAGCTAAGAGAAGCTGTTCAGTGCTTTTTACTACGAATGGCAACCATATTTCCTAACAGAATTGAGCAATTAGTTTTTCTTATCAATAACTACGATTTAGTTCTCGGTGTACTAATGGTAATGTATAATACTTTTACTTAGATCCATCTTTCTTTTTTATTGAAACATAAACATAGCGACAGAATATTTAACGATGAATGTAATAGATGCAATCCAAGCTCCTAAAAGCAATAAAGTTTTACCTACCTCTGTTTACAAATATGCTACCGGAATCAAGTATCGTGTTTATAAATATATTAATTTTCATTTCTCCAGGAAAGAACACGAGACAATTCAAAAGAAGCAGAGAGTTTCCGGGAACAATTAAACGCACGTTCCGCAGAATACGTTGAAGAAGTTTTAACTCCATATTTTGGTGGTATAATACAATTAGTTAAGGAGTCAGAGGTATTGATAGAAAAAGGTCAGGCAGATGATTTGAAAAGACAAGAAGGAAAAGCATTGGCCCTTGTGCAATCCTTCACGAATAATTGGAAACGGGCATTAGAGGAAATTAATCGAGAAGTAATAAAATCCTTCCCTAGCCTGGTGCTTGGGACCGCTTTGGTGCAACGTGCAATGACGCAATTAGTGCAATATTATCATAGACTTCATAAAATCTTACCGCCAAATGCGCGGACACAGTTGACGAATATTCATCACATAATGGTGGAAATTAAGAAATACAAAGCGAATTATTAATAACTCGAACGAGATTGGTTATTTCAAAACCCAAGACAGTGCAAATATGAAAAACCAATTGAATCCACTATTAAATCTTGTTGGGTCAAGATATAGTCTAAATATTATATATTTAAAATTACTTTTTAAACGAATTAAAGATAATTTTATGAAAACTGTAATTGTACAACTGATTGATCTCCTATTTAAAAAAAGAACATATAATTTAGATGAACCAGTATGTAGTATATTCATCACAGATTTCCTATATCGATGGAAGTTTAACCTTTAGAGGATGGACAGGTGTTTTCATGACTTTTTAGTTCTTCGAGTTGCAGTATTTATATATTTGTTATAGTGTTGTACTACGAAGAATAAGCGACTCCCTTTGGAGCCTAAAATAGGCTTCCCATTCTTTAAAGGTTAATCTAAATCAGGGTTTCCCAAACTGTGTTCCGCTGAACCTGAATAGGTGTTCCGCGACAATTTGGAAAGGTTTTATCATCAAAGTCATTAAGTGCTTTATTTATTCATATTTTTATGTTTATACTATATAATAGTTTTATATTTAAAAATAATTACTAAATAAAGAATGTGTTTTAATAACATTTGTTTTTAATTTTTACTAGTAGGAATTACCCAATCTAAAAAATGAGCTAAGTGTTCCGTTAAAATTTCCGGGTTTGCAGTGTTCCATTGCAGAAAAAGTTTGGGAAACCCTGATCTAAATAAATAAATGTGTTAGAAATATTTTGTCTTGTGAAAATTATAAAGATTTTGCATATGCTTGCCAGGTAATTGATTGTTTGAAAACAAAAGAGTACATACATATATCCAATCATTGCTTTATGAATGTTAATACTGATTGAATGTCGAATATCGAAAGAACTCTTCTAAACCTGTCCGACTTTTGCCGATTTAACCCGCATGTGTCAGGGCAGCCAGAGCCCGTGACGATTAGACTGATCTGACGATTGCTGACGATCAAGCATTGAGTTTCCCGACTCGATGAAGCTTCACGACACGATCAAAGCTACCCGACATTCGTATGTTTTTGGTACACGCCCGAAATCGCCGGATTTTACCGACCCGAGTCCGAAATGTCAGGTATCCGCACCACCCCAGCGCTCAAATGTTCTTGAAGGTAAAGTAAAAGTAAAATTTAACTCAAACAGATCAAGTCCTTAACCCTCATTTTCTCAACTTAATTTGTCCCACTGTCAAATTAACGTAGTGTTAAAAAATTAATATAATGAACAGATGAATAGTTAAAGTTGCAAATTCGTTAAAAATGTCAATATATTGTTTCTGCCAACAACTCGTAGTTCCCACTTTAATGTACAATTTTTAAATAACACGACTATTTTTTTTCTCATTTTACTTACCTAAATAATGACAAAAAGGGAATAAAAATTTATGAAAAACATACTGTACATTTATTTATAAAATAATACACGCTCCAATAATACTAAACATGATATTATTGCATTATCAATCTATGCAATAATAATTCATTTTTCGCAATTGCGTGGTCGGTAACATGCGAATGAGTATACGTCTACGTTACAAAAGCTACAGTTAAGCCGAATAAAAAATATTGCCTAATTAATGTTTTGCAAGAAAATTTTATCGATCATAGTTTCTATTTACGATTTTCGTATATTTGAACTATGTACATTGTAGCTGGTATCTTGTTATTATTTATGAATAACCATTGAACCAGATAAGTTTGATCAGATTTCGCGAACAACTCGTACCCATCACTGACAAAAATACCAAAAAAAATTCTTGCTTATGAAATGATTCTTCTTTCGGCTAAACTGTAATACTTCTACATGAACACCACATAATATTTTCCATTATCCTTTCCCCGTTTAATTTTGCAACATTTATGGCAAATCGTGTTTGTTGAACTTGGTGTCGCAGCTTCTTTTTATAAATATGTGAATTGTTTAAAAGGTAATAATTTTTACATAAAATATGGAATAAGCTTTTCAGTAATACTGTGAAGATGAAGAAACATTAGTATTAAAAAAATTTTCGGTTTCATTTGATCTACCCTCCAGATCACACTTTTCGATTTTATAGAAAAATAAAATTCTCGACAAACATACAAAAAAGAACAGATGACAATCTTACAAGGGAAGGCACGGAAGTGTTCCCCTCCGATTTTGATGAAACTTCGTATGTCTGTTAAGCAGTCAAAAATAGGGGATACGAATTTTTTTTTCGGCTGTGACGCGACTTTAAGGGGTGAAACCATTCCTCGAAGTTTTGATCCGAAAATACTATCTCGAAAACTAGAGGAGATACATGAAAACTTCTAATGGACGAGGTTTGCGGTTTTTTTATGTAGAATAATATGGTGCTAACAAATTATCCAGAATATAATTTGTTTATAACAAAAAAATTTCGGATCGAAACTTCGAGGAGTGGTTTTACCCCTTAAAGACGCGTCACAGCCGATAAAAAAAATACGTATCCCTTATTTTTGACTGCTTAGCAGCATATGAAGTTTCATAAAAATCGGAAGGGGAGACTTCCGTGGCTTCCCTTGTTAGATTTACGAAACGTTTAATGACTTCAAACCGATAACACTAAATACTTTTCAATTACAGTCAATAAATTTACGTTTCGTCCTTTTCGAAGCTTCGCCATCTTGTATTAGTTTTAATTTAGTGTAAGATTAACGTTTCTTAACTATGCACTTACACTACCATTCAGAAGTATCTGGACACTTGCTTGCTTCTGGAAGAATATAATATTAATTTTCGGCAAACCGATGCTGGGCCACATCTGTCTCCGTCGTTGTATTTTCAATGTAACGATACTAATTACAGTGCAAAATGTGTAAATTGTATTTATATAAATGTATCCTCTTAATAAAATGTTTAATTCCCAGATAGCACATGACGCTTTAAAGACGGCTTAAAGGCGCCTTAAACCTAAAATAACCGTAAAATGGACGTCTTCAAGGCGTCATGTGCTATCTATGTAAGGTACATAATGTTTTTTCAAACACATTCTACTTTTTAATGCATTCAGAATATGCCATAATACTGAGAGTTTCAAAGGTTAGGGCCAACCTTGCTTCCAGAAGTAACTGCAATCAAATAGTATATGTTATCAGCATGTCTGAATGAATGTTCTGCGAGCAGTTGCGTGATTTAACAGAAACATTTCGCACAAACATTTGAATCGACAAATTAAACGAAGTTGGAGAATGAATCAGAGAGCTGAGTGAATATTCCGTGGTCGGTCTGCGACTCGAGATATCTCGATTCCTCCAGGCACAGTGCTCGACCGTTCGCCCGCGCGTTTACAGCACACCGTCGATTGCGTGTAAAACTCCGTTTGTCGCTGGAACATTATGCGTTACGACATTCGCCTCGTTCACTCGGACTCGACCTGGAACACGATAGGATCGAAATATTTTACTATTCTCACGTTGCAAAATACTCGTTCGAAGAATGTTCTTTCGTAACGGGTTATTAGTTTAAATACTTTAAACGAAGGCAAGAAATTTACGGGGTACATCTACAGGGTGCCCTGTAGTAAGTGGTGCAAGGAAAATGGTGGTGATTCTACGTGAAAAAATAAAATTTTTTCGTATCTCATTTCAGTCTCGTAATAATTGAGTTTGAATTTTGACCCAGTACGTCTGCACTGAAATCAGTCAAAGACTAGTGGGGTGCAGTGAGGTTAGGGGAACGCTTATAGCTTGACATAGATGGCGACACGTGTCGACAATGAATCGAACCATCGGTCTGGCACGATTTTCACATGTTAAACTGTTTCAACCGGTATTTACATACTTTTTTATTTTCTTGACGTTTTCTTGAAGAGACGGGAGGAATATGCATAATATTGGTTGGAGTATTGATCTATGAAACATGTTTGAACATTGGGCCTACTTTAGCGGAGAAATGATCACGTGACAAGCGTTCCTCTTCAGTCACTGTACTGCGGGGCGCCTAAAACTTCGGTGCAGACGTACTTGGTCAACATTCAAACACTATTATTTTAAAAACAAAACGAGTTACGATAAAATTTTATTTTATATTTTCAACTTATTTTTTCCATGTAGAATCACTGTCTTGACGCTTCTGCCACTAAGTACATGCTGCATAATTGCTACCATTGAATCGGATATACAAGGTGTTTCATAATATGTGGAATATACATGTTTCATAATAAATATGGGCATTATCCGATTTAGCTTCCGTATTTTTGTCATTGTTGAGCTCTAACACTTCTTAATATCTAACTTAATTATTATAAGGAATTTTATATTGTAATGTTTGTACATAATGTCCGTCACTTTTTAATGGAATTTTTCAACAAAAATTGAAAAACATAATGAGTCAGAGATTTTTGACTTGCATTTACGTCGAAGTTAACTATTTTAAATACTTTTTGTAATTTGAAAACAATTAACATTAACAAAATATTAGCTATAAATTGAAATAAATATTGCTTTTGTTTCAAACTTGAATGTTAGTTAAACTGTACAATACTAATAAAATAATAATTATAAATTCATCATTAAATATTAATTCTACATCGAAATAAACATTTATAAATAAATTTTGCACGATTTAATTTTTCGCGATTATCGATCATTGCTGGGAGTTTGAGAAGAATCGGTAATAACGGTGTCAAATGCTTACGCGATTTCACGTAGCGTGGCTCGAAAGGGAGCGTTAATTACCACTGCTTGACGAGCAAATGGGTCATTAGGACGGAGATTTTTCAAGATTCGCGTGTTAATAGTTACTTCTTATGAAAAGGAAATTCTTCTTTGCAGTTGCCTCGCACTTTTCTCCGAACTGACACAGTTTGGAGATATAATGAAAAAACATTATCATTGAATTACTTAATCACTTTTATATTTCTAATACAAGACAGACCGTATTCAGCATAAAATAATAATTTTTTTATAAACAATAATTTTTTATACCATTACTCGCGGGACACCCTGTATACACAGGGTTTTATACATATGTACGTTCAACCTTCACCTAATTCACCATTTGTAAGGTTATGTTTCACATGTTCAGCAGAATTTTTCTTGCCGAACCTCGCCCTTTAGACCTTTATTCAAAGTTCAACTATTTCCCTTCAATCACTTCTCCTTTTACTGGTTTCTTTATTTCGTTGTAAGTTTTATTATGTAATAAGAACTGTAATAATGACGAATTACTATTATTAGGCTGAACATTGCAGAAATATGTCTACGCCTATGTGAAGAATTCCCCTAACTTCGCTATAATTCGTAGAGACACCTACAACAGCTTCAGTGCAGATGTACTCGATCGAAAATGAAATTTAGTTATCTCGTAAACGAACCAAGTTTTGACAAAATTTTATTCTGTTTTCGACTCAATTTTTTTCACATAAAATCTCGTTATCCGTTCAATTGTACCACTACATATGCGACACCCTGTATATTTTTACAAATAAAGGAATTGTGCTTACCTGCATTTTTATGAATATGTACAGGCGATTGTGGGCGAAGCGTGTCCTTTTGTAAGTAATACCTCATACCCGCTGTGTAGAGGGTCGATGGTATAATGTGTTTCGAAATAATCGTCTTCGCCGCTTCCGGTCCGTCTTCTTCCGTCCAGATCGGTCCTTCGCCATCTTTCGAAGTTGCTGCATCGAAAGCGGAATCCGTCGGTGCGAAGATGGTGAACGTTTTCGGCCCTGGAAAATTATATTCAACTACATATGTCTTCTAAGTCTACTATCTGTTCCAGATGAAAGTAGATTAAAAGTATTCGTTGAAAAAATAATCTACAATATATTTTCACTAAAAGACGAACTTTTGCAAACTCCATTCGATTATTGTGCTATTAAGTAAAAGAAGAAAGAAATTTAGTGAAATATATTCAGATAACACATGACGCCTTAAAGGCGCCTATTTTAGGTCTAAGGCGTCTGTAAGCCGTCTTCGAGGCGTCATGTGCTATCTAGGTATTGTCATATTTCAAGGTATAAAAACATTTAATAAGAATTTTCTGTTTAGAAGAATGAAAGAGACGAGCTTATTGCAAATAGGCACGCTTCTGTCCCGCGAAAAATGGACCAATGGGAGCTTCGTCGCGTGATATGATGTGTCGCCATTGTTGTTTTGATGTACTCATCTTTTTAATCGATTAGTGCATACAGGACACAGATTTTGTATGCTTATTATGCTCGATTTCTCGTATTATACAGGGTGTCCCATTTAAATCGACCCTCTCAAATATCTCCGAAATTATTGATATTAAAAAATGTTTCACATAGAAGTTAAATGGTATCACGGGATATACTCTCTGATGTACCTTTTTTTATGTAGATGCGTAGAGGTCATATGAAGGTCAACTATGTTTTTTTTTAACGAAATCGTATATTTTTTAATACAATATTTGATGCCACTCGTTATTCTCTACATAAAGTACTAAATCACTTACGGCGAATTAATACATTAAAATATATACGATTCCATAAAAAAAACAAAGTTGACCTTCATATGACCTTTACGCATGCACATAGAAAAAAGTTACTTGAGAAAGTATGCCCCTGATACCATTTAAATTTCATCTGAGACATTTTTTAATATCGTCAATAGTTTCGGAGATATTCAAGTGGGTCGATTTAAATGGAACATTCTGTATATAGTCGGTGGACAAGATACATACAGTGAACTCGTAAAATCAACCCCCTGAAAAAAGATACCGTTAATGAGTTATAAGATCCAACTATACCACACATTGATTAATTCTAGTTTAGGGTTCAAATTTCTGTACAAAGAACCAGGGAAAACGTGAAAAAGGAGTTTATGGTTTACTGAATAAAAGTTTTACAAGTTCACTATGTCTTGTCAATTGTTTATAAGTCCCTGGAGAACATATAGCAAACACTAGATACAGTATAACAATAAATATTATCTAAAAATGAAAAACATAATGTACCAAAAAGGGCAAACTGGAGATTGCGTTAAAAATTATTATTTAAAGATTATATGTTGTTTTTCAAATTAATTTCAGTAATAATTTTTTACCTGACAAAGTGTCTTGTAGCCCGGAAATGTAAAGCATTTTCAAGAAAGTGGTAAACCTTCTTTCGCGGTCAGCTTGCAAGGTTTGTACCAAATCTCCAACCGGAAGTGGAAACATCACCCTGTCGACAGCGTGCGCGACACCTTGCGGGATTTCGATGTCGCGTTTATTGGGCGCCACTTTCGCTCCGTTTATCGTTGTTATCTGCTTGTATAAATGGAAATAGAAAGAACCACATAACAGGCAAGGTAATTACCATTCCTTCATAATTAGTCTAATTAATTTATACTGGGTGTCCCATCTAACGTGACTACTCGAAATATCTCTACGCTAATTAATCATACGAGGAAATACTAGAGGGAAGAGTTTTTTAAGGTTAATGGGGCTCAATTAGCCCAATATCAGATGTTTTTTTAGATCTCAAGACAATTATTCTTTTTATACATTTTTTATTACACGTAGCAGACCCCAGGATAAAGTCAGCATCAGATGTGACATACATTCGACAAAATTTTCATTTTTTTACTTTCTTGTCCAAATGTGCGCTATGTAAAAAAAAAATCCATCAACTATGGGGAATCGATCTGTTTTACCATATAAGAGGATCAAACGACTCTTTTCCTTAAAAACGTTCAATATCATACATTATTTACGAGTGAACGGAATGTTCCTATTGCGTTCTAGAAGGTCAAAAAACTGGATCAACAAGAAACAGCGTATATCGATAATGGCACGATCAAATATACAGTGTCGATCGTGTGACTCATTGCTTCGAAATTTCGCGTGGATACGTCGAAGCAATTACATACTTACATAATTGCATAAGGTCAGCGAACCAATTAACTAATAATGAGATGACAGCTCGGATCACGAGATTTCTATGTAACTTCAAGCTATTATTATTATTAAATTACTTCTATGCGTTCTGACGAATATGTCAGTTCTGTTCTTCCGCACTTTTACTTTACGCAATCATATTGACTTTTCTGTCAGTCGAACTCAACTTATCCATTAACGAAAGTGGTAGGTCTTCCCAGCTACGCTCTATATACGATATCAATTTTAATATACCTTCACGTCGTTCCACTCGTGATCGTGCATCGCGTATTCGTTCACCCTAAGTTGCGTCCCGGCCAAGCTGACGCCGGTCATCTCGTCTTGCAAAGTGTCGATCCTGAAGGCTCCAGGTATTACATGATGCAGAAGGAGCTGCATAAAAAATTGCATTATTTTGTAATATTTAACATTAACTATTTAACCGTATTAATAGGTTAAAACGGGCAAAGCCAAATTTTGTCAAATGCCTGTTATGAAGTTATAGGCAGGAAATTGACACCAATACAGGGTGAATCACGAATCGTGATCAGTAGAGATTACTCTGTTATTAGCAGTCCGATCGAAAATGTTTTTATCAGGTATAGCATGGTTTCAAGAGAGCTTTAACGTGATTATAGCAAATTTTTTTCCAACTCTTTTTTTCCTTGATTTTTTAAGGTCACCTTCAATTTTTTGCAAATACATTTATAATTTTTTTACGCAGGATTTCAAGACGAATTCGAGTAATCACGATTCGTAATCCACCCTATATATGCAGCAAATTGGCTTGTGCAAACCGTTGTTCAGGTTTTTGCATTCAATTTGACATAATTCAATCATCACATTATTGTCAAAAAATATATGCCAAAATATCTAGTTATATTTCAAAGTGGCATAGGCGGCAAAAGGGATCGAATGCAGTGGATAATCAACGTGTTAACAAAAAAATTCATTCGACCTACCCCGCTAAGAAGTCGTGGATTATCTCTGAATTTCTGTTCCGCCTTTTCGGGACCACCGAGCTGCACCAATAGCGTTCTGAAGGCTTTGTCTGTCGGGACGAATATCGTGTAGTTTTTTTTTAGGGACCTGTAACATCACAGACGACGGCATACATTAATTGTATTTCGGAACTATTTGAAAGTTCGTAATACATGAAACAGAACGCGTCCTTTTCAATCACTGTGGTAATTACCATCCGGTTGTACGTCAATGGACAGAAAGTGAAACCGTTATGCTTCTTTGATTCCTAATTGGAGGAAGTGTTTAGTTTTTGCTCTAATTAACACGTCTACGATTTTTTAAACTAATTTTATATTAGGCAAGCTTGGTAAAAAAAAAAATGATGGGGATATTATTGACGCTATTAAAGTCTTGGGGATAGTGGTTGCGCGCGAAATTTGAATTGCTTCTTCAATAGTACTGACTTAATGTGATATTTACATAATATTGTTAATTGCAATTGACGGTATTAATTATTATAATTAGGAACGTTAATTATTAATATTATTAATATTATATAATTACATAGAAAGAAGAATTGTTACTTGTTGCTTGACAGAAAATGCTCCTCATTGTGATATAATGTAATATTAACATTATGATTATTAATTATAAGTGTCACAATGCTCAACCAAAAACATTCATTTCGTTTTAACAAGGATGGGAAAAGATGAAGAGATTTACCAAACCTCCTGAAAATGATGTTTTTCTATTTCAATTTGTTTCTATTCACCACACTTAATAACTTTTGTTATTTAAAAATCGAATAATTATGTTCAACAATTTCAAAAAACCTACAAGTAGTATATCACTCTCTTATTAAAAAAATACAAATTCTATATTTCTAAAATTTTATTTTTTTGATAAATAAAAGTGAATAAAATTTTATTATTCGAACGAAAGATACCAAACCTTGGAAAGAACTGATCTTTATACCCTGGAGCAAACAGTGTTTATCGGGACAAGGTGAACACCTGGTTCGTTACCAACCAATAAATTGAACCCAATAAGACATCATCCAACGCCATCCCATTGTTTCCATTGGTAATCGACTGTTCAATGGAGTCCAATTAAACGCGCAACTAGATTCATCAACATGATACGCAACGTCGATTGACATATAAATCGCGCACAGTGTATATATAATTGATGAATTATATAGGGCAATTAAGAGGATAGCCGATAATTACCAGACGCGCAATCACGTCGGTTTTGTAACGCAAAAAGATTCGTCGGTAACGAGCAGAAGGGCATATCATTGTTTTAGACAAAGAGGTGGCCGATGTCGAAACCATCGTCGGATGGTTTTATCCGTGGGAACATTTTTCCAATGAATGTTGCATGACTAAAACCAACCGGTGGGAAGTTACCGAGCAACCGTCGTGTGAAGAACGAAATTTTAGCCGGCGGAAGTGTATCGGGAGCGACATTCAGCTGCCATAAGTGTATCAAGAACACCATTTAATGGTTCCAAATGCGTCAAGAATTAAATTTAATCGTCATAGGACACCCTGCATATTAACACATTCACCGCCCGTTAGTCAGTGTCCGGCGGCTGATTTTCCATCTACGATGTGCCGGTCACCGGTGACCGGCGGATAAATGTTTCGTCTACGATGTACCGATGACCGACAGAGTACTTTTTCTTCCCCGGTAACCGTTGTGGAACTTTACGTTCACCCAATGACGGTCACCGGTGACCGTAATGCGATACAAGTTCAAATATCTGACTTGGAACAGGCTCCGTGGTGATCATAGTTAAGTGATTCGTATGAAATAAATAAAATGGAGAAACTCTGACCAGTGGTGCTCACCTGTTTCGTTCAACACCGTATCAAGCCCCGACTGTCTCAAGTATTTGGTCATCGCGAATAGTCCCTCCCGTCTCAGGAACAACGTGAGGCTGTCTTGGGCCGTTTGACTATTCGTCGACAGTAATTCCGTGGTGGATGAAGGAACGGTGGACCTTTCGAAGCTATCTTGGTAAATGATATTCTCGTTATGTAAGGTGGTCACCGGCTTGCCGGTCGTAGAAATCGGCTTCGACGTCGGGGAAGTTTCACTGGATGGGTTGAAGTGAATGTACGAATTGGTAGAATGATGCGGGAAAGTCGTCTGGAACAGCGTGGTCGGTGTTGTTGTGATGATCTCGTTCACCGGGGCCATGGTCGGGATGAAGTGGCTACGGGTGACAGTCGGATATTTCGCTGTCACACGGCTCTCATGGTCCAACGTGGACAGTCTCGGCGTGGTGTTCACCGTGCTTACGGAGTTGAACACGTGACTGGCGACGCTAGACGCAGAGGACAGGTATTTGTCGGTGGTGGACACTGAATTTGGGGAGATGGTCACCTGGGGGAAGTACTCCGTGGGTTTGCTGCAATAATGGAGCATCTTCTGTAGCATGTCTGGTTATTTCGTGAGTGAAATGTTTTAGGTTATGCTCTTTATATCCGAATGTACTACTGCGAAGGTTTTCGAAAAGTTTGAGGTTATGTTTAATTATATCCTAAACAGGTTATTCATTGCACAGTACATGGGTTACTTCAAGAGTGAAATATTTAGGTTATGTTCTTTATATCCTAATATACTATTGCGCAGGTTTTCGAGGAGTTTGAGGTTATGTTCAGTTATATCCTAGACAACTCATCCGTTGGACTATATATGGTGGTTTTATAAAATAAATAGAAAATCTTGAACTGTCCCTGTACTTATTGTCAGTGCTATACGGGGTGTTCTATAACAGGTGTCAGAAATGTTAAGGGGTGAGTCTACGTGCGCTCACATTAGCCTAACCCGTCGCGTCAGATGTTTTTCATCCGTATTTTGACACTTAATAACTCGAAAACGAACCCTTTAACGCAATTTCGTCATTCTTGATTTTCCCCTTAATTTATCGTGAAGAATCGTTTCGTAAAATTTCTGACATCTGTTATCGATCATCCTGTATATTAGCTACAACATCAAAGTTTGAATTTCACAAGCGAAAAAGTTTAAAATACATTAGTCAATGGACCAAAATACCGTAAAATTAATTTTATCACGCAGTAATCATTTACCTCTCAGTGTATCTCGATGAAACGGACGTAGATCTGACAGTGGTAGGCCTGAAAGTGGTAGGGCCGCTACTCGGATAGGTGACAGTACTCTGCCTGGTCGAAGAGGAATCATCGAGACTTGACCTAAGATTCTGGCTCGAAGTGACTGGATTGGTTGAGCTCGGTGGCAGCTTCAGTTCACCTTTCTTGATCCTCTCCACGATCGAGTCAACATCGGTTCCCTCTTTGTCAGCGTTCCCTTTCACGCCTTGAACCTTGTAGCTACCATCTGGTTGTTCCTCCAGGACCACAAACGTCACCTTTTTAGCCGGTAGACTCTGAATCGGTGCTTTTCCAATCTCTTCCAGTTTTCCATCGCTCTTCTGTCTGATCACCTCGAAATCCGCACCAGGTGGAAGTACACCCTTCGTCAGCTCCTCGAGGATAGCTTTCGGGGGTCTGATGGTGGTCGTCGAAGTGGCCATGGTCGATGATAAATTCGAGGGATCGGTTGGTACCACTGAGGACAGGCCACTTGGAGCGTCGATCAGTTGAATCTTCTTCCCATTAGGAAGCACGATGTCCCTGGTGCTGACGTTCCTGACATCGTCGTCAACTGACTGGGCCAGGGCCAGCTTCAGTTGCTTTAGCAGGACATCCCTTTCTGATCCCAAAGAGGACCTGCTGCTCTTAGCACTTACAGTCTTCTCTGTCGCTGGTTTCTCGGTCTGATAGATCACCTTGATCTGTGGTTTTGGTTTGCCCTGTTGAACAAATTGATTTTCTTGTTCCTGGATCAGACTCAACAGATTCTCTGGGATATTAGAGGATGAGACTTTCGTTGATTGCGTTCTGGCGGTGACTGTGGTGACGATTGGTGCTCTGGCGGTGATTGTCGTGGAAGTTGGGATGGGAGTTGTGGAATACTTCTTCTGATGAGTGGCTATAGCTTTGAGGAACAGGTCTGTTTCTGATGGGGTGATCTTCCTTGCAGTTGGTAGAGACACTAGAAGTGGGGAAGCAGTGGTGCTGACAGAGATCGTGCTGGGTGAGGTTACAGGAACAGGCGCTGGTGTTGTCGAGGTTAACCTCTGGAGCTGTTGGATCCTTAGGAGCTCCTGTTGCTTTCGTACTTCCTGTTGCTCCTGCAACAGTTGCTGCCTCTGTTTTTGTAATTGTTCTAGTTCTCGTTGCTTCTCCAGGTAGTCCTGCAGCTGCACAGTTTGCTGATCGCTGAATAGTGGCTGGGATAGGTCCTGCTGGAGGTTCTGGTATTGTTTGTTGCTACCTTGGTACTGGCTACTGAATTGCTGTTGGAATTGCTTAGGCGACTGGGACTGGAATTGAGGCTGTGAGCCTCCGAGATAATTCGCGTTACTTAGTTGTTGGGCGATTTTCTGCTGTTGTTGTTGTATCAGTTGCTGTACTTGTTGCTGTTGCTGCAGCAATTGCTGTATCTGTTGCTGTTTCGCACGGTCCACTTTGTACTTGGCTAGGGAAGAAAATGAGCTTGAGAGATCTTGCTGAGGTCTGAGGTTGCTACGGTAACGTTGCTGGTGTTGCTGGACATCGCTGAGGATCTGGGCCTGTTGGGACGCTGAAAGACGGGGTCGTGGGTCGACGGATGGCTGATTCTGAAATTCATAGATTTAACTATTAAATATAGTAATATTTTTGTAAATAGATTTTCAAATTTTGCAAAAAATTTGTTCAATTAAAAGTTCGACAATAGTTCAATTTTTCAAATAACTTTGGTAAACTAATTAACGATTGTTCTCATATTTTTTATTTTAAATGGTTCCTGAAAGTTAAAATTTTGATATTTACTGGTTTGGGGAAATGTAAATTCCTTACTATCTTTTTTAAAAATGCAAGTCTATCATTTTTTTCTGAAACTTTGTTTGTGCGACATCAAGTCTATATTCTATGATTTTTGACATTTTACAGGGTTACTTGTAGCTTCTGCTGACTATTCGTAGGTTTGTAATATTTTATTAAGTGCACAACTAAGTATTTTGCTGTTGAGATGGCATGGCCGTTTAAATTAAATTTTTGTTCCCACCCTTATGGAGAAAATGGCGTAGGATGTCAAAAAATTGTTACCTAGTTTTTATTAAACACATAATGACAAAATTTAAATTACTAAATTAACAATTATGCATTTTTAAACAATTCAAATACAAATACAAAAATGCATAATTCTATATATAAAACTAATTAAATCACTTTAATTCTAGAAAACAAAGTTAAACAAAAATATTTTAATATATTGTATTATGTAATTAATGAAAAAATGTACTATATAAAAAATACGATAAATTAAAAACTATACACTAAATACAATAGTTTGTACACTATACAAATATTTTTATTTTATTGTACATTTTCGTATAGTGTCCTACTATTTATTTTTGCTGTATTAACTATTATACAGACGACATGCGATTTAAATGAAAAGTGTAAGCAAGCAACAGCAAGGAAAAAATGTGTTGAAGCCTTCGTCCCCAGATGTTAATTGAAATTCAACGGCAAAGAAATTATTCCACGAAGACGTCGCGAAATGAAAACCGCGAGCAGTTAGACTTTCTCAAATCGGAGGAGATTGTCTCACAGCCTCGGCGGACCCCGGACTTGGGAATGGAAGGAGAACAATGCCTCGGTTAATTACGGCGATCTTAATTACTTCGGGCCGGTCTTCTCTCTTTCGAGCAATGTTAATTATTAACTCGCGATCGCGAACGACTCGTATAGCTTTTTACAATAATTATCCGATCACTGTGAACGATTCAACGTATGAGTTACGTTTTACTTAATTTCTTTATAATTAATTCATTCTGATGTTATTAATTGTGTTAATTTAAATTTGTTTATAATTAATCCGTCATAATGTTATTAATTTCGATTTCTGAATTATTCTGTCTCCTCTTAAATTTGTTTATAATTAATCGATTATAATATTAATTTCTATTTCTGACGAATTCTGTCTCCTCTTAAATTTATTTATAATTAATCCATTATGATGTTATTAGTGTTTTTAATTTATTAATGTCAGGTCTTTTATTTTACAATGACTGAAATTATAAAGGTGTTTTGTTCGAACTTTATATTGACCTTCAATTTATTATACATTTTACATTATATGTATATAATAAACCCAATATTATTGAATTTTATATTATCTTTCAATAAATTTAATTTATTAATATGAGGTCTTTTATTTTATAATGATTGAAATCATAAAGATGATTTCCCTAAAATTCTGTGGACTTTCAATTATTAATTTTTATATTACATTTTTACATTATATTTTTATATTATATATTACCCAATATTACTGAATCTTATATTATTTATTCAATAGGTAATTTCCACAGGAAGGGTACCATAAATTCTGGCCACAAAGAAGAATCATCGAAGTGCCTTCAAAGAAAAAAGTAAAAAATCGATACTTATGTAACGATCCTCGGTTAATCGATTCCGAACGACAGGCAATAAAACTTGCCGTTACAGAGATCGCGGGAGATACGTGACTAGCGGCGGTAGCAATCCCATCGATCGCATTCCGTGACGTAATTAAGCTCCGAGTCCAGTCCCTAGGATCGTTGGCCACTGGTTTCCCACAACTGATGTGAAAAGTTGACCGTTTATTCTAGGTGCGGCTTCCTATCTCTTTCGTTTTAACGATCTACAATCTACGATATTCGCAACAACTCTCTAGCGTTCGTAAAACCGCCATCTTGGATCTCCTACGTCTGACATCGGGGGAATGTATTTAGCGATTGTTCAATATGTATCTGGTAACGATGAGACGACTCCAGTGACCAATTTCGGTAAAGGGTTAGACCACCTTGATTTTTTTGTCTGTCACATAATCTCTAGAACTCTTAGATCATCGTACTCTTCCCTTCTAACTGTCAGGTCACTTGGGTTAGCCCAAGACCTTCACATTACACGCTTCTCATCCCTAAGCCTCCTGAATACAATCTCTAGTACTTCTAGATCATCTCAAACCACCTAGACACTTGATCTCTAGCACGTATAGACCATCATACTCTTTCCTGATTATTGCCATAGCTCTTGGACACTTGATCTACCACTTTCAGATCATGATACTCTTCTTTACCCCTAACCACCTAGACAATTGGTCCCTAAACCTTCTCGACCATCATACTTTTTCCTTATTACTGTTGGAACTTCTGAACACAGGCTCTAGCAGTCCTCCACCATCAAGTACCCCCTTGTCATTACTAGGGCACCTGGAAAATCTATTGGCCCAGGTTCCTTCAAAAATATTCCTGGACTATAATGTATATTTAATTTGTATACTTTTTTACAATTTACACTGTCCCATCAAAGCCATTCATTTGCATCCTACATCTACTAACATAAGACTTATGTCCTACATCTCCTAACATAAGAGTACATCTTCTAACATAAGACCTATGCCCTACAACTCCTAACATAAGACTTATGTCCTACATCTCCTAATGTAAGACTTACACTGGTTATGACACTTAGCGTCGTTATAGACGTGTAGTATGTATATGCATAGTTTTATGATAACAACAAAATGTATAATATGCAGCATGGCAACATTGTTTTGTCTTATTGCACTTGCGAAACGTTCCTTTCCGTTGCTACCCCTGACACGCTAGTGAACGGATTGTTTTGGCGATAAGTCGAACACCAGCACTTGTTGAAGTTATGTTCCGTGTAATCAGAGATGAGAAAGCTGTGGTGCATAACTGTGTTTGTGTGACGCGGAACATCTTATAAATTTGTGCGGTTTATTAAAAATATACGAATATCAAATTTTATTCTACCTATTTCATTTATGGGGATTTCCGTTCCACGTCATTTTTATCATATAAACCATTTTTTCTTCGTTTGATATAGTTGCAATCAACGATCTTCAGAACATTTGTTGGCATAATTGGTTTAATTGATTTTGTGCCTGTTTTGATTGATTATCATAGAAACTCTTGAGTTTCATATAAAACAATATCCCAAATAGCACATAACACTTTGAAGACGGCTTAAAGACGCCTTAGACCTAAAATAGTCGTAAAATAGACGTCTTTAAGGCGTCATGTGCTTTCTGGGTACGAATAACCCTTTAACGGTGGAATTTCGTTTTCGAAATGTGTAACCGTTTGAGCCCTTTGTTCTAATAAAAGAAATATATTTTTAAATTTCTTATAAAACTCAATTTTTATAGAAAAGTGTATTTTATTTTTTCACTAATTACCATTCAAACATTACCCAAAAAGTGGTAATTTCCTCATGGCAAGTATACTCGTCAAACACTGTTAAAGGGATAATAAGTATTTTTTTAATAATGTAGCGTTAATAGTTAACAGAAGTGTATTTTACAAAATTGCTCTTATATTATTTTAAAAAGTATTATGCCTGCCACAAAGTAATTCACCATTAATTTTGACAAACTGATAGAACAGTTTAAATTCAGAATATTTTCCCACCCTTTTTTCTTTTTTCAAAATGGCGGACAGTTTGGGAGAACACCGGTGAATATTAGTAAAATAAATCCAATATAAAAAATATAATTTTCATAAAATTGGATTCCGGTCTCATAGTTTCAAGATTTACAATTTTTACAGCAATCCATTATTTAATGAATATTATGAAATTATATTATACAATATATAAAATATAATTTTTATAAAATTGGATTCTTGTTTAATAGCTTCAAGAGTGACAAATTTTGCAACAATTTAATATTTAATAACATATTGAATTACCGAATTCCCCGCGCGATTCCTTAAGCCACTTTAGGGACCTTCACTTTCCAGTTCATTTCTAAAAAAAAAAAAGAAATTCTTCCGCGCTAAATTTTTTTCAGAAAGGAATTCAGACATCCGTGGAAAATATACTCACGCTATCCTTATTATACGAGCGGTTGCATAATCCGGCATCGGCATGCACGATCAAACCGCGTGCATTCATCGCGGGACACGGTTCCCGTTATATAACGGGTGTTCCTTCACTTTTACGCCCGACGGACTGTGGATCTCCCAGGCATTCGACCGGACAGACGATTTTTGCCACCTTTCGCTTTCTTTACATTTCGCGGAAAATTTCCAACCGGTACCGACACCATCGTTTCTATAGAAGTGCGGAATCGTGAAATACTTTTGTGATGGTTTAACACGCTTCTGCGATCATAAAAGAAAAAAAAGAACTTACGCAAGTGCCTGTCATCGGGTCTCATTAGACCCCTACTTTTGAATTGTATAGTTTGTGTTACTACAATGCTGAAATGGTTTAGTAAATGTGTGTTATCACTTGTATGATCTTCAATAAAAAAACTTACCAGAATGCCTGTTACTGGGTCTTGTCAGACCCATATTTTAGAATTGTATGGTTTGTGTTACGATAATGCTTAACTGGACTGATAAATGTGTGTTACCACTTATATGATCTTCAATAAAAAAAACTTACAAGAATGCCTGTCATTGGGTCTTATCAGACCCATATTTTAGGTTTGTGTGTAAAATGACTGTAACTAAGTTAATAGTATAATTTTACAGAGATACTTTTATTCATAACATTCCATGTCTATCTGAACTGAAAGGGAAGAAACATTCCAGAATATTTTTTCGTATTGTTCGAATAAACCATTTTACATTTAAATTTCTACTGCTGATTTACGTTAATTATTTTGTTACACTAATTAACTTTTACGAAGAGGATCTGATAACCATCCATTGCGTTTTTACTGGATTTTCTTAAGTATAAGGACGTTTTTGTTCCGGTGGTATTACGATTGCTTCTTCATTTTTCAGTTACATAATACCCCCGGCCGCTATAAGGAAAGGAGCAATGAAAGTTTGAAATACGAACGTTCGAACAAGAAATTAAATTGAGTTATTGAATTACACCTTATTTACCGATTACACAAGACCTCAAAACAACTTATACTAATTTGTCCCGATTACGTACTCCGTTTAATCGTGGAATATTACGACTAGAAAATCTGCAAGTCAGCTTTATGTATTTGATACAATTACGAATTTAATAGATGCGCTGTTATACTTTAATGGCCACCCAATATGGTAAATGTATTTCTTAATTTCGTTTATATAACCAGGATATCTTCATTTGTTTGTTTTAATCCTATTACTGGAATAGAAATTTAAGCGAGCCCATTAACCGATAATAATTTCTAGTAAGAGTCTTTAACAAACATTTGATAACCACTGATTATATCCTGCTTTGGAGAGACATTATAATTCCTTTTGGATTTGTAATTATGATTTATCGTCAGTTAAAGTTGTGTTCGAAAAACCTACAACATTAACTTGCTTTTTCTCTGCTATTTCCTTGGTTTTTCAGTTTCGTTAAATTAAACCTGGTGAAAGATATCATTATTTTTGTTGATGATAGGAGGAAATACACAATATTGCAGTGAAATATTTTTTGTAATATCGTTTAACGAAATTTATGGCGGCTTTCACATTCCGTTATGTACTTTAAATTATAACATATTACATCATTTTATATAGGAACCTAAGAAAAAGATTTTTTGGGGTTGATGAGTCTCCAACAGGCGCGACGGAGGGAAATCCTTCGATTGACCAATCCATGCTTTAACGACCACAGCCAGCGCGCGTTTCGAATCTACCTACATTTTTTTAACTTATTTTCTTAACTGTTTGAGGGGTTTTATTGACGCTTCTTAGGTACGAGGGGAATTTATTGAAATTTAACTTCCTGATCCTACTAAAAAGAATTTCTAAATTCGTTGAATGTTTTATTATTTTTTTTCAATTTCTCTCGACGTCAACATTGGCTAAAGAAGTTTCGCGTCAAAATTTAATTTACAAGTAAAGTTAATAAGTTTGCAATACACAGATAATGTTTGCGTGAAACATTCAAATACAAAGTGTACACTGTTTCGATCCAAAATTTTACGAAACAGTGAATTCTGATAAGCTAATTGAAATTTCATATTTTATTTTATACGATTAATTATAATGTACGACGGATAGTAGCTGTAACTATTATTTACCATATCTATCATTATCATTGTTACAAATATTATATCCTTTGAAATATGGATTTTTGTAAAGTTTATTCGAGTAACTTCGATTTTTTAACTCCTAGCGACAACTGACGTTGCCTCCACCCCTCTCAAAACTAATATAAATATCCACTTTAGAGACTAGAACTGCAAGTATTGGGATAATCGAACTATTCGAATTATTCAAATAGTACGAAGTATTCAAATATTTCGAATAGAGCAATATATTCGTATTATGGGAATATTCGAATAATAAAAGTGATCGAATCTCGGATTGTACCGAATAAGAATTTGAACAAACAAATAATTCAAAGGCCAATGTGAAAAGAATTTCACGATAAAGTATGAAAGAATCTATTCTGTTTAGATTTCTATTCAGTACAATCCAAAATCGATCACTTCGAATATTCGAATACACCGAATAATCCGAATATTTCAAATACTTCCAATACTTCGCATAATCCGAATATTTCAAATACTTCGAATATTTTGAATAATCCGCATAATTCGAATGTTTCGAATATTAAATTCGAATTCCACTGCTATTAGAATATTCTTCGAGTATTTGAATTATTCGAATATTCGAAATAGCCTAATTTATACCTATTTATAATTACTTCTATTAAATAACGTGTCCTTGCCATTTGATTGTTTTACAAAAAGTACAGGTCATTGAATTTAAAACATTTTAGACAAACTTCAAAACATAATAATAGACAGTGTAGAAAAAAACCTAATTATTGCAACGTATGTCTTCCGTGGAATAACGTGACTCTCATTTCACACACATTTCATTGTACAACTTTATAAGTACATAAATGGTCAGGTTGTCAAGTTAAGTGAATCGCTCTGTAGATACTCCTGGCATTATGTGAAAACGATAATTGAGCGCAATGACACCCGTGTCGTCTATAACAGTTCCACGATAACCTTTCGATACTCCTCGTATGAACAGTTCGGAATTAATCAGGAAGTGACGCTCTTGCTTCGAAAGTCGTGGGAAGAGGAACAGATGGTTCGGTTTGAAAAAATATTACCGACTTTCTCTGGGCTTTGATGGAGCCTCGTTATTCTTGGTGTCGTCTCGAAAACACTTTACCGCCACGTAAGAATTCACGGATTATGAATTTTCGTGGAAGGAAACGGTTCCGATCAGGTATATTGCCGATCAAGCTGAACTTTTAAGGGGAAATGGGCACTTTCTTTGACGAAACATTGCTGTATTCTGAATCTATAACGGATTCACCTCAAACTCAGATTACTAGTAATCACGCAGATATGCGCCATTGGCAGGACAATTAAAAGGTAGACTATATGTGCTATGATTCTATAATATGATACCCACATGATTCTATATGTGCACGAGTCACGTGGGACGCAGGGGGTTACGTGGGACACTGGAGTCACGTGAAACACTGGGGT